CCGGAACCTTTTCCGGTTACTGGGTGTCTAAACTAGACATCTTGCACAGACGGACACTAGTCCACTTCCCCAGAATGTTTCTGGGTGCTGGAGATGTTTTCCTTGAGTCTAAACTACTGGAATCCATAAATATAGTTCTAATTAAGTTAGAAACTTCATTTCTTTATTATAATAATCCAGAATAGTTTATCTAAAAGTTTGTTAAATAAATATATTTAAAAATTAAAAATCTATATGATATGGGCGTGAATGAAATTGTGTGACAGCAAAGACTGGTATTTTCCACTCCCATGGAGCTGTGGGGGATTAGTGGGTCTCATGTAACTAACCTGACCTGATACAATGTCATCGAGGAAATACCGTAATATCTCCATTAGCCAGAATCCCTCTGAACCGGAACACTCCAATAGCCAGAATTGAAATTTGCTTTTAATTTTTCTGGAAAATTCTCTCAATTCCAGGTTTGGGAAAAATTCCAAGGTTGAAAATCAGGAGCATTTAATAAAAATTCATAAAAATAATGGAAAATCTCAAAAGTTTTATTTCTAGGTTTGGGAGCACATTTTAATAATAAAATACAGGTTGTACCTCTCTAGTCCGGCATTCTATGGTCTGGAAACTCCCGTCGTCCGGAACGATTTTAGTTTGTCCAATAGGTAGATAGGCAGCTTTTTTTTTTTTTTACTTATCTGAATTATTATTATTATTACAGGAGTATTAAATTTTTGCCCCTCAGGCCCCAATGTGGGTCAGTGACCTATGCCCGGGTGGGCTAATCCCCTTAAAAAAAAAAAGCCGCGGGAAATTAAGGTTTGTTTACATCCGGCAGTTCGGCTGCTCTCTCTCTCTCTCTCTGCTTGTCTATACAGAGTACAACATTTAACCCTTCAATATATATGAGCAGTAAATAAGTGTTGCTTTCATATTCTTATGTAGAGTAATGACGATATGTTTTCACATGTGCGCACTTACATACGCGCAGTCTCACTTTTTTTTACCATTAATGGTTAGCTACTTATATTGTTCCATTTATTAACATTAAATAACATTACAGGTACTTCAAACAACCATATTAATTTTTTTACATTAATTTTACTACAGCTAAAATCAGGGTCTTATTTTCTTCAGTTTTATATGTAGAACCAATCAGTCCCTGGTTTTGTAAGCTTTAACATAAACAATGCCGGCAGCCGTCTTGTCTCCTCTAATATTCCACGTATTATTAATAAATTGTATTGTTAATTTTGCACACACAAACATTAATTCAATAAAAACAAATTCAGAAACATTAATTAAAATATATATGAACAGTAAGTAAGTGTTGCTTTCATATTCTTATGTAAAGTAATGACGATATGTTTTCACGTGTGCGCACTTACATACGCGATCTCTCTTTTTTCTTTACCATTATCGTTAGCTACTTCTATTGTTCCATTTATTAACATTAAATAACATTACTTAAAACAACCATATTAATTTTACTGCAGCTACAACCAAGGTCTTATTTTCTTCAGTTTTGTATGTAGAACCAGTCAGTCACTGGTTTTGTAATCAACGGAAACAATTCTGTGTCATTTCCTCGTGTGTTTTAGTATTCTACGTTTCTATGAATTGTATTGCTCATTTTGCACACATAAACATTAATTCAATAAAAAAGACATTCAGTAATAAACAATAATGAATCTTTTGTACATGAGAGAAATGACGCTGTTTACACGATTATGCACGTCGTCTGCACGTTGGCGGGCCGTTCAAACCCGTCAAAATTCAAGTTTCTGCCGTCAAAATTTTTATTTATTTTTTTTTGTGTGTGTGTTCCAATAAAATACGTTAAGAATTAAAAACTAGCGAAATTTGAGAAGCTACTATACGACATTTAACCCTTCAATATGTCTTCAAAGAGAAAATCTGAGAAAATGGTGACCAAATCTCTCCAAATTTCTACCTCCCCATGTTTCTACCTCCCCATATTTCTACCTCCCCATTTGGAGATTCTGCACATATCTGCAGTGATAGAAGATGATAAAAGCTGTAGAAAAAGATCTAGTTTGAGAGTTAGGGTGAAGGGAAAAATGAGAAGAGTGAAGAGTAGAATCATCAACATAAGAATGGATAGATTTAATAGTACAGTACAGTGGAGTCTGCATTTACGCGGTCAATTGAACCCGTGGAGGCCCGCGTAAAACGAGAAACATGTAAATGAAATAACAGAACATATGGGATTAATTGAAATAGAGACTGGGCCGACCCCCAAACTCCACTTTTTCCGACACAATACATACCTTGTAGTCAAAATAGCATCTTAATTTTATGATGGTATGCACACACAATTAATAATTAAGAGAAATATCAATAATATTAGGTTTTTTAACACTTACGTTAGTAGAAAAGATGGCTGGGCACACAGGGATGGGAGGTTGGTTCCGAGGCAGAGGGTAGATTATTGGCCCTCACCTGTATCACTTGTATCAATTGTATCACTATCCACCACAGAGGCTTGCAGGGCCTCTTTGTCAAATCCCTCAAAGTCCATATCCTCACTATCACTGACTTGGGCCGGCTGTGGTGGGTGGCGGGTGAAGAACTCGGTAATGTTTTGATGACTGGGCAACCTTGTGCGCACCCTGCCCGCTCCGCTTCCTGTGTAAATGACCAAATTTACCGCGTAATTAAAGCATTTCATTCTGGCAAGGCACCGCGTAAATGACCAAACACATAAACAAAAGCCGCGTAAATGCAGACTCTACTGTATACTTTTGCTTTTACGGAATCTGATATGACGAACTCTTGATTTAGCGGAAGGCATTTTTCCATTATTTTTCTCTCGATTTAGTGAACTAGCTCGCTAAATCAAGATTAAATCTGTTAATAGGCTCACCCCTATGGTGTTGGAGGGTGTGTGTTGGTGGTGTTGGAGGGTGTGTGATGGTGGTGTTGGAGGGTGTGGGTTGGTGGTGTTGGAGGGTGTGTGTTACTGGTGTTGGGGGTGTGTGTGTATGTGATACTGAGGTGTGTTCCTGACACACACACACGCGAGAATTAAGACAATATGCATTCAGTGAGGGTCTTGTTGTGACTGCTTGGAGGAGAGATAAACATCAGCTATTGAGGATCTTATCGCTTGGCAACACTGGTCCATGTTACCATCCTTTCCACCCCATCTCTCTAATCACCCACACCTTTCTGCTTTCTCACTCCATATTTTAAAATGTTATGTTTCGTAATGTTGATGGGATACAACTTTGCTCATTTATACTTATATTTATCACAATCTCCCTAAAAATACTTAGGCTTTTGTCTTGATTCAAGACATCTTCAGGTCATGAAACCCACTAATCCCCCATCCAAGAAAGGGTGACCTGGCATTCCATCCCTGTAAATTTATTTGCCTCTAAAGATGTCTTGAATAAAAACGAAAGCTAAGGTGCTCTAGTGAAGTTAGTTGATCGAGAGGTAGTAGTTAACAACACACTCGGTGGTGGCAGGACACAGACCGAGCGGATGTAAACAAACTTGATGCGCCAAGTGACACGTGGTGCATTTGGCACGGAATTTAATGGAATCATGTTCGATTTAGCAAAATAGTTCGGTAAATTGAGCATACATAATGGAAAGCTCGATTTAGCGAAAATTTCAATTTGACGAACCAGGGTGGCTCGAATTAGTTCATTAAATAAAGAAAATACTGTAGTGTGAAGTAAATCATTGATTAAAAGAAGGAAGAGAGTAGGTTGAGAAAGAGTGAGAGATCAAACCCTTTACAACAACTGCCATCAATCTGTTCTCAAGGAAACTAGAAATGAGAGAACAGAGTGGAGGAGAGATAGCCAAAACTTGTGCCTTACCCTATCAAATGCTTTGGAGATGTCAAGAGCCATGACAAATGTTTCCCCATAATCCCTAGGAGAGGGTGACCAAAGATCGGTGTGATTGGAGAGCAGAGCACCAGTAGATCTCGCCTTGTTAGAGAAAGGCGTTCAAGGTGATGGGGAAAATGAGAGTTTAAGATCGTTTTGAAAATCCTGGAGAGGGATGAAGTCAGGGCAATGGGGCAGTAGTTAGAGGGATTAGAATGGTCACCCTTCTTTGGGATGGGCTGAACCAAGGCATGCTTCCAAGAAGAAGGAAAAGTTTGGGTTTTAAGGCAAAGGCAAAAGAGGCGAGCAAGCACAGGGGCCAGAATCTCAGCTCACTCCCTCAGACTATGAGGGGGTATTGTGTCTGATTCATGCACCTTATTCACATCCAGATAACCTTGATAAAGGTTGATAAGCATCACATTTTAACCATTTCACTACAGGAACACCACTTTTAATATTTTATTTGGCTAATGTCAGACAATTTTTTTCAGTAGAGAAGGGACCCCATACACAAGAGATTAGTAGATTATCTCCCCTAACCTCTTCACTAAGGGAATGCCAGTTTTAATATTTTATATGGCTAATGCCAAATGATATTATACACTAGAGAGGGGACTCCATACACAAGTGGTTAGGGGTCATAAAACATCGGAACTTCGTGTAGCTCCTACCAACCCACTAGGAATTCTTCCAAGAACTAAGTGGCTCAATTCACTCCTACAAGTGAGCCCTGTTGTACGTTTTATCCCCCGACTGTACCTTAGGTCAACCACTGGATCAAGTGGAAACAAACATACAACCTTTTTGTTTCATTGGTTGTGACAACAATGTTATTCTACCTTATCTGTCTAGATACTATGTCTGACTGTGAATCATATCAGACCATCTGGCTATAAATGAACTATATTGGTAGGTGTTTTGGTAGTACAGTATGGATTGCACAAGCAACTGTGTTTCTTCTCCATGATCATAAAATGGGATTTCAATTACAGTCCTTCATTTTTTGCCATACAGTTCTTTACTATTGGCAGACTTTTTTCAATATACAATTCACTTCGCATAGAATCAGAATGTTATTTTGGACATAATGTCAAAATATTTTTGCCACTGCCATCTCAACAATAGTATTTTTTATTCCAGGTTGAGACTGCAATGCTGGTTGTAGCCTATGATACTGGATTACCAGCTCATGTTCACACCTTGAAGAAGGAAGACTGTGAACGCTACTGGAAAATTTGGTGTACTAGGCTTACTCAGTTTTGGAAACAGCTTGAATTTCAAAAACCTGAATTGAAAACTGAAGAAGGGTAATGTTGATGCATCATATTCACAGCTGCAATTAAAAATTGATAATTTGAAGTAAGATATTATGGGTCAATTTTATAGAGCTGTATTGTACTGTTGCTTGGAAAATTTTCAACCAAATTCTGCCCTGTATATTTGTCATCAGAGGGGTAAAGGAGAGGTATGGAGTCCTGGTAATTGAGAACCATACCATATATTGTGTACTGAAGGAGCAGTCATTTTATTTTGCCATTACGTTTTCAACCCATGGAAAAGGGATCATTTAGTTGGATATACCTTCTGTATATTATGTTTAGGAAGCTTTGTACAGGGTAGTGTTCTGGTATTTCATTGTCTGATAAAGTTTTAGTTATACATTTATTACTCAACTGTTCTTAGTGAGGTATGGAGCAGCGATTATTTTTTTAATACTGCCCCTTGGATTTTATTCTTACCTATTTTATAGGAGAGGGAATCAAGCCATTGAATTAGATGGGGTATTTTCCTAATCACATTCCAGGCCTGTGAGACTTTAAATTTAACAGACCTGAGTAATTTTTTATTAGTTTGGGAAAACATATACTGAACAGCAGGGCATTTTTTACCAAATTTTCACCGGGGGTGGGGCAATTCTCTAAAAGGGCACTTTTAAAGACCAGAGCCGGTATACTCAAAACTTTTAAGTGCTAACAAACAGCTGTTAAGGTTGACATTTTCCTGTTAAACACTAACAGTACATACACAAAACTTTTAAGGGCCTTAATAGTACTGTTAAGTTAAAAGACCCCTGGAGCACTTTTAAGTCCCGTGATAGTCGTCGGTTAGTTGATACCATGGCAAACCAACAACAACATAAGCGGCGGCAATGCATTTATCGGGAAAGGAGAGATATATTTAGTGAATATAGTGTGTATATATTGAATATACAGTAGTGTGAATATATTGTGTATTCCCTCTTTATAGCAGAGATCTTCTTTCTTGACTTAGAAAATACTGAGAACCAGCATGTCTCACACTCTGCCACTGACCTTACCACACCAGGAAATGCAGCATTGACTCTAATGGTGATTTCCAGCCAGGCCCTCTTTTTGTCTTTATTATTCAGGAAAGGCTTGAAGCAGTCATTCAGTATTAGCTTATTCTCTTCAATGACCTCCACCAATAATAAAGTCTGGTCTGCTGTCCAGTTGGGCTTCCTTTTCTTTCGTAGTGTTAAGGCTTCCATTTCCGCGATGTTCGTCTTGTCCGCTCCTCAGTAACACGTGTGTGAGGGTTTGTTTACAAACAGCACGGCAAAGCCAAGCCACCGATCACTATCCTTGGTTAATATATCCTCCTTCAAACTGCATAGATTAGATTTTTCTTTCTTTTTAATTCTCAAAATGTAAATAAATGTAAGTATTGAAATTAAATTTCATAATTTTATTGAGGTTATTCAGCCATAAGACCATTTTATATCATGAATTCCTGCTATCCTTAGTGCTGTTTAGCAGTACTTAACAAACAACTGTTTGTGCTGTAAAAGTTTGCAGGTTAAGCTTTGTGTATACACTTTTAAATTTTACTGATACTGTCATTAGCAAAACAATTTTGTCATTAGCAGAAAAGTTTTGTGTATACCTGCCCTGGTTGGGGACATTGAAAGTTATTTAATTCAGTTTATGACTATTTCTGGTGTTACAAAGTAACAGATGGCAAAGCATGCATACAAATATACTGTATACCCAGTATATACTGTACTGTACAGATGTGATATATGCTGGCATATGTTACTGTACCATGTACTGTAGAGCACTACATGTATAAAAGATGTCACTATACTGTATGTACCATTATTGAACATGCAACAAGCTTAGGTTTGTTTGATGGAAATCGGTTTATAGTACTTTTTCTAACAGATATAAATAAAATTCTATTAACATTCACTAAATTTTATTTGTGTGAAATCAATCAAAAATAAACATATAATACATTTATGAAGTATTCTTGAGAAATTTACTTCATGCTGTATTTGTTGAAAAATAAAATATTAATAAAATAAAATTGATATGCACATTGTAACATAATAAACTAATAACAATATAAGTAACTATGAATTTGCATATGCAATCATGTAGTTGTGAAAAATCAAGTAGCAAATCATGTATAGTACCCCTGTATACATATACAGTGATATCCCCTTTCTCTTCGCCGCAATATTGCTTCACTCTCTCTCTTTATTGGGGAATGTCCGGTGGATTTGACATCCTGTGTACCACCGTCAAGGCCATGGGCTCGTAACACTAGTCTTGCTCGCGGTGCCAACCATTACTGTGTGGAAGTTGGTCACGCTCGAATAACTCATTATAGTACATCCTTTTTTCCTCACACTGCCAAAATGGGGAATGCTCTGCCTTCTTCTGTGTTTCCATACTCTTACAATATGTCTCACTTCAAAAAGCTGGTTTTCCAGCATCTTTTTGGTGTAGATTAACAAATTCTTTCTCTTCTATTTTTAATTCCTTTTTACTCTTATTTTTGTGCCCCCCAGGCCCCGTTGTGGGTTGATGACTTGTGTCCGGATTGACCATTTCCCGTAACGAAAAAAAAAAAAAGGTCAGAACAATTGGGGATGAGAGATTTATGGCTTACCAGACGACTTTCCCCAACCCGGAAAAATTCCTTATCCCCTGAATATTTTCCGATTACTGGGAAAAGTTTCCGAGTGTCTAAACTAACATCTTGCACAGGCAGATACTAGCCCACTTCCCCAGAATGTTTCTTTGTACTGGGGATGTTTACCTTGTGTCTAAATTACCAGAGTTCATAAATGCAGTTCTAATTAAGTTAGAAACTCCATTTCTTTCCTATAATAATTCAGAATAGTTTATCTAAAAGTTTGGTTAAATAAATACTTTATACGAGAATTCGATGATACGAGGTTAAGGAATTTGCACCTTATATTTGCTATACGAGCGATATTGTTCGATGATATGAGAAGCAAGTACGGTGACCACTGGGGTTAATTATACAGTAAGTCCTCGCTTAACGTCGAGGTTACTTTCCTGAAAATGCGACGTTACGAAACAACGTTAAGCGGATCAACTTTCCCCATAAGAAATATATAAAATATGGGAGTTATGTTCCTGAGCCTCCCTTAAGCATGCCCTCTAATTTACCTTGTAAATCACAGGAAGGTGATCCTTGGAGTAACCTTTCAGGACCCGTGGGTTGGCTGCGCGAGAAATCAACATAGGCTTCAGCTAGAAGTCGCCAACAGCGTTCACTCCAAACAGCAGCGTCAAGCGGTCTTTTGCCGCTTTAAAATCTGGCGCTCTTCCTTCTTCCTTGGAGAGATAGGTCCTTTCAGGTATCCTCTTCCAAAAGAGACCACTCTCATCCACATTGAAGACTTGCTTCGATGAGTAGCCTCCTTCCTGAATAATCTGTTTGAATTCAGGCGGGAATGTCTCGGCAGCAACCGTATCTGAACTAACAACTTCGCCAGTCGTCTTTATGTTGTGGAAGTTATAACGATGCTTAAATCATTGAATCCATCCTCGGCTGGCCGTAAAGGTCTCTTCCTTCAATCCTTCAACATCTGTTTCCTTTAGGTTGTCAAACAGGATCTGGCCTTATGCTGGATAACCATAAGGCTCACAAGGGCATTGCATTGATTCTCGTCCTCCATCCACATAGCCAGCATCTTTTCCACCTTTTTTTATTAAAGTGCTTCGAGTACGATTTGTCTTTGTTGCACTGAGAGTAGTACCACTTCCAGCACTAACCTTAATCTTGTTCGCATTGGTCTGGATAGTACGCACCATTGTAGGGGTTAGACCAAGCACAGCGGCTATGTCCACAGCACGTTCCCCTTTTTCAAAACAGGTTTAATACGTCCATTTTCGTAGCAAGGCTAATGGTCTTACGTTGCTTCTTCTCAACATGAGCATCAGTAGCACTTGATGGGCGCTTGGACTCCATTTCGAATGGTTAGAGTGCAGTATTTAGTGCAAAAACACTAAAGCACACACGAATGATGTGGAAGCATAACAGAGACTTGCTTGGGGACGCTGTGACGTTCCGCAGTGAGAGGTAGCTCGCCTAGCCGAGAGAGCGTAGAGCGGCCAGACGAGAGAGGGTGATGCACCATAAAAAGTAGTACGTGACGACACAAAAACGATGTTAAATTGATTCGTAGGCATGTTAAACAAATTATTTAAAGAGTAGCGACTTAGTACCGAAACAACGTTAAGCGGGATGATGTTATACGAGAACTTACTGTACTACAGACTTTTTCATGTGAAAGCCATAATTTTGAGCAACATATAACTGTACAGTACTCACTTTGTACTCAAATGTACTACACTAAAGGACTAAAATTTTTATCTTGTGCAAACTATGTGATGTTTATACTCAAATTAATTCCTATCTTACAGGGATTCCAGCAATGCAAGTTATATTCTGTTAAGTCTAGTCGGCGGCATTTTATGAGATAAAAACTTTAAGCCTAAAACCACCTTCACCCTGGCTGGGAGGATGGGGAAGGTGGAGGCGAGGTGTTGACAGCCAGCAGCGAAGGTTACCTAGTGCGTATCTATCTGTCATATAGAGGAGTTTAAGTTTTTCTCTTATAAAATGTCACTGAATTGACTTGGCAGAATATAACTTACATTGCTGGAATTCTTGTAGGATAGTGACTAATTTGAGTACAAACATCCCATAGTTTGCACTTGACATAAAATTTTTAGTAACTAACTTTGTATATTTGAGTACAGGTTTGCCCTTATGACAATTATTTCTTTTACCTTTTCACAATATGTATTTTGGATGATGTGTGCAGGTAAATGAGTAAGAATAAATGAAGAAAGTTACGGGCAGTGTATTGGGCCTGCTGTTGTTTGTTTGTTTCATAAATGACATGCCTGACGTTGTACACTCCTCCATACAAATGTTTGCCGATGACGCCAAGTTATTTCGGGAAATTAAAAACCAAGCGGACTGTGAAGAGCTGCAGAAGGACCTCTGTAGGCTCCAGGAATGGTCGAAGAAATGGCTGCTGAGATTCAATGTCACGAAGTGACGGTAAGGAGGCGTATCATATGTCCCAACGGGATGAAGAAACTGCACTAGTTGAGACTGTGTGTGAGAAGGACCTAGGTGTGTATGTTGACAATGAGCTGAAGTTCTCGGGCCATTGTGATAAGAAGGCAAATCAGGCAAATAAATTATTGGGTCTTATAAGAAGGTCGTTCAGATATCTAGACGGTCCGTCCCTCGTAACGATCTTCAGGAGTGAAGTGCTTCCCCATCTGGAGTACTGTCACCCCATCTGGTCCCCGAGATATGCTAGGGACTGTCAGTTGGTTGAAAATGTTCAAAGGAGGGCCACCAGACTGGTGCCTGCACTTTGGCCCCTCAGCTACCCTGAGAGATTGGAGCGCCTGAACTTGCCCAGCTTATACTACAGACGGGCAAGGGGGGACCTAGTTGAGGTGTATAAGCATCTCAGGGGGCACTAATCAGTTGAGTGTCCTTACTTGGAGCTGGAGGACGCTCGCCCCACAAGGGGTCACAGCTTAAGATTGAAGAAGCCGCAAGTCCAGAAAACCGTGAGGGCAAACTTTTTCGGAGTGAGGGTTGTAAACTCTTGGAACAACCTACCAGAAAGTGTTGTGAGCTCTTTCAAGACAAGACTTGACCAACACTGGAGCTGGTTCAGGTACATTCAGGAGCCAGTGCATGCCCAGTATTTGCCAACAGTGCGTGACAAAGACGTGACTGATCGCCCGGGCGGCTAGCGAGCCAATCTTTTGGTGAAGAAGATAAATGAAAAGAGACGTGACCGATTGCCCAAGCGGCTAACAAGCCGATCAGTGGCGAAGAGGATAAAAATATATCTACCCGAAAATACGAGTTGAAAAACAACCATAACACCTCACAGCTTGGTCCAATAGCCTGCCTGGTGGTTGCTGTGATGAGTCTAACTTGGCTACAGTGTTGCTCAGTTTACCCGGCTAAGTAGACGGAACAAATAATGACGTGGTCTGTGACGTCTCCTGATGTAGATGTACAGAGACGTGTTTGTTAGCGACTCAGCCAGGCCGCGCACCCCTCCCCTACATTCCTTCCGTCCTCTCCCCAGCTACCCTCTCCCTTCTCCAGTGTTTGAATCTGCTATCCCAGTTTGTCCGCTCGTACTGAATTTCATTTATTTATTGTCATCAGTATACTCAGTGTTCGGAACTGCTTCCCTATTTAACCCATGTATTATTCCCTCCGTTATACGAGTTTTTGCTCTACGAGCAGACTCCAAGGAATGTATCTACTCATATCATCGAGATTTTACTGTATATTTAAAAATTAAAAATCTAAATGATATGAAGCTGTGTGTTACAGCAAAGACTGGTATTTTCCACTCCCATTGAGCTGTGGGGGATTAGCGGGTCAATGGAGTCATGTAACTGACCTAACCTGATGCAATGTCAGGTGGAGGTAGGGTGGGGGATTAATGATCACATATTACTGACCTTCTGATGGAATGTCAGTTAACCCTTTCTTGAGAGGAGGATTAGTGGGTCTCATGTCCTGAAGATGTCCTGAATAAACATAAAATCTACAGTATTTTTAGGGAGATTGTGATAAGTATAAGTATAAATGAGCAAAGTTGTATCTCTTCAACCAGTGGTGGGCACAGCTAAACGAAAAGTTAGCTTCGCTAACCGCTAATCTGCTAACTAAAAGGTTAACTTCACTAACGCTAAACAGCTAAAAAAAATAGCAGAAGCTAATGCTAACCGCTAACTTTTATTAACCTATATGAATTTAGCTTCTTTTTTTGTTTTGCCTCTAAAACCCTTAAAAACAGACCTAGAGAGCTGAAATTTTCATATGCTGTCTTGTAGCTTAGACATAGAGCTTTCCAAAAAGGTATAGCATGCCATGATCAGATGATGATCAAGGTGTACACAAATAATTAAATGAACAAATGAAAT